CATCATCATCATCATCATCATCATCATCATCATCATCATCATCATCATCATCACAGGCATGGTCTGTTTCATGTTGTTTCCATGACATCTTCCACAGATTGAACCAAAGACCCTGTCTTCGAACTGGGCCCAGAGCAGGGCCTGTGTGAACTCCGTCGCAGCACGAGGACCCAACGGCGATCAGCATTTCTTTTTTTGAGGACATCTCTTGGAGAGTCCTACAGTCCTATAGTCGGATCTTCTGAAGCGCAGTCCTACAGTGTCTTTTTTCCCGGCCAGGCACGATGTGTTTCAGGTTCGCGATGAGCTCTGATTTGAACTTCAAGCCTCATCCACGGATCAAAGAGGCTTGTTCATCATGGCATCCTTCGTGGACACCCGAAACAACAAGTTGACAAGACATGATTTGGCTGAGCAACATCAGTGTCTATTGGCTAACGAATAACGAATCCTTATGAATCTATATGAATCCATCAACCGCTCATTTGGGGTTCAATCCCCAAGACGGTGTCAAAATGATATTGTAGAGCTGGCCTATAGTCCCTTCAGTAGGTCGTTCTGATTCATGAATCACAACTGCAGGGGCTAGCGGCTAGCCACCTTAGAACGCTTACATGAACATCCCTTGCTCCTTGGGAAAATGCTCCCATTGAACTAGTGGACTTGGTGGATCCCATATCTAGTAAAAGAAGTCAACAGCATTGCCTCAAACTGACTGAGGTTCTTTACTGAGAAAATTGTGGTGTTCCGGATCCTGTTTCCTTTCTGGAGGGCGGGCAAAAAAAGACCCTTTCGTCGTTGTTCCCACATTGACATGAAAAAAAACTATATTGGTGCATGGTTGCCCATATAGGATGCACAAACCTTCTTAGAAGGTACGACTGGGACTTAAAAACGCCCGCATAAGTAGTCTCCAATCACCGTACCTCAGAAGCTACGTGGATCCATAGGCCTGGTGAAGAATCTCGTGTAGGAAGATGGACTCTTCAGAGCGCCTAAAGGAGAAGAAGTTTCTCCCCGTCCGCTCTCCGTGCGCTCGCGCGCTTCTTCGTGCGTTTGGCCGCACAGTAATTGGGGCCGGCACAAACTCGGTCATTGGTGACTTTGAGCACCACCTGACAAAAAAAAGGAGCTCCAAATACATCCAGTCTAATCCTCGGATGTGGTCATTGGTCGGTCATCCAGTCCAAATACTCGGTCATTGGTCCTCAGTCCTCCTCCAGGTCGTCCTTCGCGACATCGACGTCGGAGTTCCGGACACCGACGGGTCGGTCCGGACCGACTTCCAAGGTGATGACCACTGGCTCCGGTCGAGCGTGACCAAGGGCGTGCGCTATATATGGAGCTTGAGGTGAAGCTGTGTGGGAAGCCATGGAAGTCGGTGACCAACTGCTTCAGATCTTCTCCATCCGCGGATGAATCAAAAAGAGTAGTCCATGTACTAACTCATGACAGTCCTTCTTTTGGAAAGGAGTCAGTTGCACCAAATGATTTGGCACGGCTCCAACTGACAGCGGAAATCTGGGCCCTGGACATTTTGGTCGCAAGAATTTAAAGAGGTTTTATGTAGGTACAATGGTGTGCACCCGCCACAACAACAAAAAACATTGCAGTTGAAAGATCGGGAAATTCATCATCATTCGGTCACGCTCCGCCGCTGAACGCATCACGCCTTTCCCTCCTTGTGCCGATACTTCACCAAATATCGCGTCCTACCCAGGGTGTGTGCATGCAACTGCAGGCCCGATGTACAAATGGTGGTCTGGATCAGTAGGGCTGCATGAGCAAAGAATCTTAAAAAGAATGACGGGGTTGACCTGAGGACTGCGACTTCGGAAGAACCTGGAAGACTGTGACTTCGGGCTTCCATCTGCTGTGATTTGGAGCCAACCTTCCAAGGCCACTTCGTGCGTTTTCTGGGATGGTCTGCCCAGAAATGGGCATCCAACTGATCCAGCAGACTTGCTGCATTCAGCTTCAATGCCCCATCTGATTCATTCACATAAAGTTCATTTAAGGGCATGTGTATATCATATATGATAAATTGTACAAATAGGCATTCAACTCATGTGCTTCTGACCAACAAGTGACAAGTGAGTGTACCAGGCATACAGCGATCCTACGGAACTCTGGGTTCCTATGGGTTCCTGGTGTCTTCTTTGTTGAAGGCATACATAGCCACTGGGAGGCGTGCTCTTCCGATGCAGCTGCCAGAGCCCCCAGGCCTCAGGGGCTGCTGCTTGAAGAGCTCTTGCGCAGCGGTCTCGAAATCTTGAAAGTCGCTGAGGTAGACCATCGCCGGCTTCCTTGGAAGGCGGAGCGCGCGCTCACTGCCTTTCAGAGGAGTTCGGAGACCCCAAAAGTACCGCGTACTGTACCGTGACCCACCGTGACCCCAGAAAGGGCACGGGCGAGGGAAAGGGCAACGTGTGGTGTTCCTTTTTTTCGGAGGCCATCGCTAGTAGGGTGGAGGCCGTGGCTATTGAAGAAATGTCTGGGAACAGCGTAGGTGGAGAAGTGTTGCGCGATGGATGTCTGACTCAGCAAAAACCATCGATACCCAGAGGTCCGCTACTCACGATGTTTGGGGCAACCAGAACTGGAAGGATCCATCTTTCGTGGTTTGGAGGGGTCGACCAGGGTTTCTCACCGTTCTCCGTTGGTTTTCGAGCGATCCAGTGTTCAATCCCTAAGCTTGGTTCGTCACAAAGCTCAAGAGCGAAGAAATGACACAGTACTGAGTGACTATACTGACTGATCTGACTGACTATATGGAAGATGTGCATGTTAAAACGAAACAAAATAGCGCTGAGGTCGGGGCAGGGCATCGCCGTCGGCAACAGGTCTTTGTGAGAGGAGGTCTGTCGAGCCAAAATTTTGGCTCGCTTGAGCCAGAAGCCTCACCCGTGTGGGTGAACTGTTTGCTCATCACGTCTGGAGGCCACGACACCTTGATTTTTCGTAGTGTATAGATATGCAGGATACATGTTGCACATCATATGTTGCCTGGAACCACACCACCCACCTACAACTGGTCCAAGCGATGCAGCCTATAGTACTTGCTTGTGGGAAGGTCAACATGGCGGGATCCCGATCCGATCCGCGACCCACGCGACCCACGCGACCGCGCGACGTTCTACTACACCCAGGTACCGTACGTATGGATGTGAGGATGTGAAGATAAAGAGACCCTCCTAAGGGATCTATTGGTAGGCGGATCTATTTTCCTCCCCAAGGGTCCATCCATACACCATGTCATATCTTATTCGCCTGGGAGTCTCCCCTCAAATCAACCGTGGAAAGGCCCTCAGGCTGCTGTTCGCTGAGGGACGCCATGCACAGATCAACCCGCAGCGACTGCAGATTTCACAGCACAGATCCATGTGACAGTCACTGGAGTATTGCCGAAAGACAAGCATGGAACGGTACGTAAAGCCCTCGAACTCTCCACGAAACACACGTTCGTTTCACCACTTGGGCCACTCTCAAACTCTCCTCTTCTCTGGTCTGAGCCTCCACACCACCTCACCCTGAAAGACCTCGAAGCCCAAGTCCTCCCGCTACCGGACGAAGCGGTCACCTCCCGCGTCCCGCGGGTCACGCCGTTTTGGGAGGGCGGTTGGTTGGAGCGAGCGAAGCGCCCGAGGTAGGTCGGATGTGTTCCAGATGTTTAGTCTGATGCAGGACCCTCACCCTCCTGTTTTCCAAGATATGTTCTTCGGTGACCGTTTCCACGAGTTTCACATCCAAACGATCACCGGCCAGGTCGACCGGCTGTTTCGGCATCGGACCGAAGGAACACTCCGATCAGCCAACGGTTTTGTCAAGGATTGCTATGAACAGCGGCTGCGAACACTTGTACAACATCGTGAAAATTCGGAAGTGCTTTGGGTGGCAAACAACGACTGCTTAAGAAATATACTGTAATGATATGTGATGGCGGTTTTGTATGTCCTGAAAAACGAACTGCTGATGGATCTAAACAGAAATATGTCCCCACGATGTCCTGAAGGGCTTGGAGCTTCTCCTGGACGTGAGAAAGTCAGAGAGAGGATTACTTGGTGCTCGTTGGTATTACGTAGGTATGATTGCTTGGAATTTTTGGCATCAATAAGACGAGATTGCTCTTGAAATCACGTCGACCATCCCATCTGGGGGACACCCGGACTCTCCTACACTGGCATCTCCCATCTGACCTACACTGGATGGTCGTTTCGGAGCGCGCAAGCCGAGGTCCCGCGCCCGGCCGCGCCCGGCCGCGCCCTCCGGTCCCGGCCGCGCCTCCTTCCGTTCATCCTCCGGGTTCGGCCAGCGAATCGGCACTTTCATCCGCGGCGCGGCTTTCCGCGCGGCTTTCCGCGCGGACCCCGTCAGCGCGAAGAGGTTGGAGCGCGTGGGTGTCAATGAGCTTGCCAGAGCGTCCATCATCTCTGTTGGTCATCTGAAAAGCTCCATAGAACTGGATTCACTGAGATGTGGAGAGTTTGGGTATGTCCTACCGACTGTAATGGAACACCCGATGTGTAGGATTAGAGTGAAGTAGACTGACCCTAGGTGATTGGAGACACTCTTATGTGGGTTTTCAGGGTCCAAGTACCTTCTGAGGAGGTACTTGGATCCCTAGGGTGATGATATGATATGCGTAGAATTGCGTAGAGAATGTGCAGAACTGGCCTCAAAAGACTCGCCAAAGTTGACTTTTCGCACCTTCACTAGACATCTTTGGCCCTTTCTTGGCTGTGTGTCATGCTTTCGTCGTGACACTTCTGAGCCTTTTTGGCTAGAGCAATCGGTCGGCGGTCGGAAGAACTTCCCGTCGGCGGTGTTCTCGGAGGTCTCTGGGACTTGTGGTCAGGTGCTCCATCGTGGTCTTTGAACGAACTGCCACATCAATGCCCACAACCTGTATCCCAAAAATGACTCCCCTCCCCAAATGATCGCATGTGTTACGACATGTTACAACCAGCTGGCTAAGCCCAACTTGTAGTGGTGTTCCAGTGACTACAGACTGGCTGTTGGAGGTTTTCAGGTCCAAATATATAGATTCTGACCGCACATCGCTGGTTATCCACACCCCATAGTCACAGCCAATAACGCAGCAGGTAGCATTTTAGGGAACCAAAAGCGGGGGATAGTGATCTTTGGACTGAAAAGGACCTCAACCATCTTTTACTTCGTGGACTCCCCCACAACCATCTTATCAGTTGAAACGAGGGACCGCCTTCCGGAGAAAACAGACACCGAAGGCCTTGTTCACCCGAAATCAGGTGACCCGAAATCGGTTGTTCTGCCTCGGTCGAGTTAGACGTTCCGTTCCACACCGGTGACCATCGGTCGAAAAGGTCCCGCTCTCAGGTCACACGGTCACACCAAGAAGTCCCCTCTCGGCCTTATACTGATCTGAGTCATCTAAGTCTGCAGGAACCCCCTCCCAGACCCCAAAAGAAAAGGCCACCATAAAAAGCAGCCGCAGGCGGGGGGGGCGGGTACTGATTTCAGCTTGTTCTCCTTGCTGTTGCACAGGTTACTTCGCAGCATCTGGCGATTCGAGGTGGTCCAACGATCGGGGACGCGCGATCGGGCCCGCGAGAGAGAGAGAGAGAGGTGCATGGTTCGGTGATCTCCTAAACACACGGGGACCTAGCTGACATGGTGAAAAGATATGTATTTTTTGCACTTCTTCAGCCGCATGCTAGTCTATATATGTTAGTATATATATATATATATATGTCTATATATAGCCTGATTATCCTGATTCCTAAGTCATAAATTTAAGTGCCAGAAGGATAGGGGTGCATCATGGTGCATATGTTCCACTAACTGGAAGGGACGAGCCAGGCCCCACCCAGGCCTTTCCATGAGTGACCCCTGGTGCTGAAAAAATAAAACACCGACCTCGTTGCTTCCCATCAAACCCAGTGCACCCGGCCTTGCCAAAGGAGCCGCCCTGCAAGACCTCGGCTCCGCGTCCGATAACAAGCGGAGTCCAAGCGGGAAGAACCAAGTGGATGTGTTGTTGTCGGATTCCAATTGAGTTGGTTTCTTTTGGGGGGTTCTTGATTGGTATTTGAAAAAAGAAAAAGAAAATGAAACATCGCGGCACAGGAGCGCAGGGGATGCCTGTGTGAATGAACCGCTGGACTCACTCAAAGCAGCAATCTCTTGGGGAATCATGGTTCCAAAACAATCGGGCTACGCATTTTATTGAATCTTGTCCATGGCCAACTTGCCAAGGGTTCAATTCGATCTTCAAAAAGTACGGCTCCAATACTCCAAAATGTTGATAGATGTTGATGTTGATTGAATTTGATACCAGCAGTCACGTGGAAAACGGGGTGCGATGAAGTCGGGTTGCTCAGAACATCCAGAGCCCCTGGATGGGACGAGCCACACCACACCACCCAGGCCCTCCATGTGACTCCTGGTAGATGTTGATAGCAATGTTGGTCATTCTCATACACCCAGACAAACCTGTGAAGGATGGGACCCGAAATCCGAACGGGTCAGGGGTGGAAGAGAACCCAATCACGACGTTTCAACAAGGACCACCTTGGGGCCGTCGTTCACGGAGCGTCTGGGCACTGACTCTTTGGAGCAGTTTCAGGTGGCGAAAGGTTCAATCAGAACGCTTCCAATCAGCAGAAAGCGTGCACAATAGATGTTTCAACACCCAATCATCATCAATCTCAACTCGTTTTCCGCGCAACGCGCCACCCAAAAGCCCCCATCTTCCTTCCTCTGGGTCCTCTGGCCATCCCATCTTCCGCCTTGCCCCGCCACGGCAAGGCATGGCCCATGTAGCGACTGCCAGCGTGGCGACTGGTCGGTCCCTTCAATGGATGGAAGGGTCTGGAACACCAGACTTGAGCCCCCAAAAAATTCCAAGTGGCATCGGAGTGATGAGTGACGAGTGGGTCATGCCGCGACGACTCAAGGGCGACGACTCAGCCCCCTCTTCCGTTTCAGTCTGCTTTTGATGGACAGGTTTGGGTCCTTCGCGTCCTTGCCTGTAGGCCAAGTGTCGACTGGCCGGTGGTTGATCCTCAGTGGTCGATGTTGGACTGTGGATGAAGGTTGACGGTATCACTGTTCTTAGTCTAGCAAGGAATTGGAGAACTCCCTGTAGCTCCTTTTCGGGGAATATGGATACCCTCAATCACTCCCTCCTGATCTGATCGGCTAGTAGTAGCAGCCACTCAGAACAGTGAATGCGGTCATTTTCGAGTCAACGACACAAAGCCAGATGAACCTTCTACGACCAAAACCACTTTCGACCGGTGCTCAAATCGCCGCCCATCTGCTGACTTTCGACTGGTGCGGTCATTTTCACCACCTGTCCACCTGTTTACTTCTTGGAATTGTGCCCAGAATGTTGCCCAAAGGATCCATGGTGGCGGCCCTGACTGGTGGCTTTGGGGTGGTTTTTGCATGTTTTCTTACATATCTTTGCCGTCCCAGCCAGTTGGGACGTGTCAAGTGGACCAAGCCTTGGGGACGCCGGTGACGGAAACATCCGGACATCCGAACACCTCCTTCTCCCAGTCACTCATGGAAAGGGCCCCCACGGTGGACCCTCACGGACCCTGCCCGGGGTCCCATCGCCGGTCGCGACGCGCGACGCGACGCTCTGGGAGGACGTCCGGACCCCGACAGCGGTCGAAGCTGTGGCGAGGGGCCATCGTCATGGTGGACACGCCCGCGGGGAGCTGCTCCCACTTCACGTAGTCGGCTGGCAGACAGGTGGCACAGGCGGGTGTTGTGTGGTGGTAGGAGCTGAGGTTTAAGACCCGAGGAGATGGACCTGAGGTTTGGACAAGCAGGTTTGGACAAGTGCTTTTGCGTGTGTTTTTTCTGGTGCAACGCGCGCATTCCTTGCAAGGAATAAGGGCTAGGGGAGTTCATTCCCTCATTCACTCGTTTCCCTGAGAACTAAGCTTGGAAACGGAAGATACTGTTTCATGGAAAGAAGGGGGGAAGTTGTCTGGTGAATGATGTCAGCCCACAAAAACCCTTGTTTCGCTTGTGTCAGCTCCCTGGGCGAGCTATGTCAGCTGAGATCTCATGGTGTTTGGTCTTGAAAACCCTGGTGACCGTGGGAACCATCAGGTGCGGTGCTCAGGCGCCAGGGTCCAGTCTTGCCGTGAGACCCAGTCTGAGGCATCCAGTCTGAGAATTGCAATAAAGAATTTTGATATAGCCATGCTACAGTATATAGTTGGAACTCAATCTCATGAATAGACTGATAGACTAGACTTGAGGTTTAATCCATCTGCAAATACACAAAATCGTCCAAATTGAAAACACCACGACTTGTGTCAGTGGAATGCAATTGGCATCTGTCAGCTTTTTTTTTTTTCAACGCATGATGGCTGAAAGCATCTGAAAACGCATCCGACCTCCACTACCCAAAACATCCCCAAAAACCACCCTCAACGAGACCTTCGCTTCGTCGCTTCACAAGTCTCGGACACGGCTTCACTGCGGCGCCCAGCGTCTTTTTCTCGGTCGGTGCACACCGCACCGCGCCATCCCGCCACGGAGCGTCTGCTCGCCGCACGCGCGCAGCTCTGGGGTCAAGGCCAGGGAGGGCGAGGAGAACTAGTTTTTTTGGGGGGAGCTTGGCTTGGACGGTCAAGACGAGTCCACATTCTGCACATGTTGGATTCGGCTGGTAAGGAACATGTGAATTTGAAGAATATATATGAGAACCCAAAGGGGGAGTCACCCAGAGGGATAAGAACGATCGCCCTAACCAGGAAGAGTGTTATGTGAGTCATAGGAGTTGACCCCCGTGGTAGTCATTGCAGGGGACTCCTGCGGTGATGGGCAAGTTTCTGGTAGATCTTGGTAGATAAAATCGTCATCCCGCAGGAGTACGTATCTGCATTGCACTGCCAATGGCAAGTTTGAAAAAAATCCATCCTCCAAATCCTCCCCAGACTCGGCCCTGGCCCAGCATGGAAAACCGAAAATTCCCGCAGAGGACCCTTCGGCACCTGCGAAGAAAAGTGCCTTTCTTTTCACAACACCTTTCACCACTGTCACAGCCGCAAGCGAATGAATGCAAACTGATGATGAACAGCAAAATAGGGATGTTCCCACCATAGTGATGTTCCCACCTGGGATGGGGATGGGTCGTGACCCACCTGGAGCCTAACCCGTCCACGGACTCCAGTAGCTTACGACCCTCCAGGTAGGTCAACCGGTATCCTGGTGTCATGACCCACAGCCTGCCATCTGTTACTTGGCCGCTCATAATTTAATGAGGAATCCACACCATTCACTCTGTTTGGTGTGAAATTATGTGGAAAAATACTTTGCTTTTTGGTGCTTTTTGTCCCACAAATGACTTGAATTGGGGGAGAAGTGCCATCTAGTCATACCATTTCAACAAAAAACAAACATCTACAGCGTCTCCTTCTCCAGCTAAACCCTGTAGGTCCACATTTCTTCAGTTTTGAGAGCAAAGGATGCTGTGAACGCCATTTTCGTTCCTTTCAACCAAGGTACACTAGGGATGGCTTCCTCCCAATAAGTGTCCAACAGCCACCATCAACCAGGAACTGAAGACACACAAACTCCGCGCTGCCATTCTATCCTCTAGAACTGTCTGCTGTCTTTTGGTTAGAAATGGTGAAAAGGAACAACTGAAGAACTATATATGTCGAATAAACTTAGCTAATCTTCGGAGCCAAACTGGTGACATCCTGACATCCTTCAGCGGGGCAGTTGTGCTCTATCAACACAAAGATGTCTCAAACACATACAGAATTCAGCGCTGCTGCATCTACTAGCAGTGCAGCAGCTCCGATTTCTTCACGTCAACATACTGAGTCAAAGCCAGCGTCCAGGTCACATCTTTCCGCATACCACCCACGTTGCGTGCCGACCGTGGTCGCTGCTCTTGGGGCTCTTCACATCTTCATCACCGGATTCTTGGACGAATCCCAACACGGACGTGCAGCAAAACCAACCGCAAACCCTGAGTCCAAGAGTCGCCATTCGGCTTCCAAGAGTCACATGCAGTTGGCTCCCTGCCTTTGGCGAGCTTCGTTCCGACTTCCTACGTTCGTTCACCCCAACATGTGACTGCTGGACTAAGCTTCTGATATCTTGAGCAACTATACAGTTTTGTGTGCTTTTCCTTGTGCACAGTTCTTGGCCGCGGCGTGACAGGGTCAAGAAGCCTAAAACAAATCATGCACCCCCCCACGTTGACATGAGCGCGTATTGTGTCACTCCAATCGACAGAAGTCCAAGGGGGGGACGCATTGGTGGATGAAATAGGATGAAATGATCCAAATCTAGAGACTTCTGCCACACCGTTTTCCTATAGTGTTGCTGTCTCTTTCTTCCATCCCCAGCAAACAACAACCCAGCTGACAGAAGAGGCTCAATGCAGCTGGTGCATGGGGAGGGACCCGCGAGTCGTCCGCCGACTCTCACGGCGTCCCATCCCGCGCCTGGCGCCGACTCTCGCGGTGGAACGACGAATGATTTCAGACTTCGCCGTCGGAACGGTGAATCGGACGAGGTGAACTTGAAGTGTCTGAACTTCGGGAAGCAAATGGTGAGTATCAGTATCTGTTTTTTGTGTAACAGTTTGGGTCACAAGCGGGCTGTGAAAAGAAATGAAGGGCATAAGGGCTATAATACCCTCTGTCTGCCTCCAATTTTGAGGTCTTTGTTTGTGCCTGAAGTCAACGCGGTGCCTTTTGGTTCTGATCAACCACCCTTTGAAAAACCTGCAAAAACATTGGAAAAAAAACTCAAACTTCAGGTGTCTACCACTGTTGCTGCAGTGCCATCTTTGTGAAGAAAGGGTCCTGCAGCGCCAGCACCCTTCTCGACGACTCCACTGTCTCCTCCGCAAAACCGCCGGTGCCCAGAACAGCGGTGGCCTAAAGCTTGTCCAAGTCCTCCTGGCGTGGCACGCCGTGGCAGGCCGTGGAAAATTGAGGTGGCGATGTGTGGCGATGATGTGTGGCGAACTAGACCAAAAAGTTTAAAAAAAACATCAACATCGTTGTATTTTCTCCCTGAATCCACTTCCATGTTTGTTGGATGCTTTCCGAATATAAACAGGGGATTGTCCACTTCCATGTCGTTGGAGGCAGGTAGATGCGTTGCCCCCCCCAGACGGCTTGTCTCACACAACGGCTCCAATCCCGCGACATGGTGGTCCCGGAGGATGTCGGCATCACCGACCGCACTTGACCGGAGGAGGTGTCCAATTGACCATCAACATTAAGCAGGAGTCACATGTCGGGGTGCCCATTGGAGGATAGGGGTGCCCTTGTCACATCCACTTACTTAGGGGCTCAAAACCACCCTGGCCCTCCATATGTGACTCCTGGGACAGTGATCCAATAGAGCACACATGTTGTGCAGTGGTGCCTGGAGTGGCCATGTTGGGTGGAGTTGGTTGCATGCTGAGTAGCCAGTTTGGGGCCGCGCCAGTCTCACTTGGAATCTGATTTGAAGGTCATAACGTCGCTGTTCTGGAGCTCTATGCACACGTTAAGGCCGGGCCCACGAAACAAGAATGATATGTGTGCTGCGTGATTAGCCTCTTTAGGTCTTTTTGGAGAACCTAGGTGCTTTCTAAAAATCCTCATTTCCTTGTATTGGCCCGGCCCTTTTTGGAGGATCTTCGATTCCCTTGCTAGATCTTGCCCTTCCCAAAGGCTCAAAAAAGGCCTGGCAGACTGTTCGGACAGACGTCAGAGAGCAGTTCTCACCCCAATCGCTGGGGACACCGTGAACAGCGGAGGTCTCGCGCGCCAGCGCGACCCACCCCCAGGGAGGACTTGCAGAAACCAGCTACCAGGTGTGGCAAGTAGTCACTAAACACCCTACAAAGTTCTGTACCCTTCAAACTTCATCAAACTTCCTCATGCTCGACTGGGTCATACGGCGTCATTCATGGGCAAGTACTGTAGACTGTTGATAAAACACAACCCACATCAAAAAGCTTCTACCATGTTCTACCCTCCAAATTAAGGGAAGCTTTTGTGAATCAACCAACAGTCTACCATCCGTTTTTGACCTCCAACATCGCCCAGATGTGTTGTTCACACCGGATCCTCCGATTTCCGCAGGCCCTCCACCCCACCGGGACGCGGTTCCACCGTTCCGGAACACCGGCGTCCAACCACCGCGACCCCGACGCGCTTCTCCCACGGCCGCGGGACGGTTCGTGGAGCGGGACGGTTCGTGGAGCACCGCGACCTGAATGAGATCGAAGACTTCGTTCGGCTTTCCAGTGCCATCCACCTCGTAGAGCACCTCCTGCCGTTGTGTCGAGAACACCCCGTTCGGCGATAGATTTTTTAAAAAATAAACTATACAATTTTTGTATAACCACTTATAGCCTTATCATGCCTTATCATTTTTGTGAACTCTTTATCGTTTTTCAATGGGAAATCAGTATACAGTCTCTTGTCGTTTCCCAGCTAACCACACATGTCCCTGCCTCCACTGCAAAAAAGTCGGTGTCTGTTATGTGACAGTGCGCGCGCGTACAAATTTTAATCATTTCAATGAAACATTGTTTTTTTCAAAATGTTTCTGTAAACATCCAAACAATGGAAGACAGGAACTGAAGGAAGATGATCAGGAAAAGAACTAAGAATTAAACATTAACTAGCTACTTTTGGTAAACTTGTTCTCCTCTCGTAGGGCCTGATTCTCAAACCACCGATGGGCTTGCTGAACGGATGTTCCGCAAACAACACCCTCCTAGTGCATCAGATCCCACGTTCGGCATGAGGGAAAACCGGATCGTGGAAAAAGGGAAGACAAAACCAAAACGAGCAACAGGTCAACTCCATGCCGGCACATATGATCGAATGCGGGCAACTCAACCAGCCGTGATTGCTTTGATGTTGCTTTGATGTTGCTTTGGCTTCGGATATGGAGCCACATCCACCAAAAATAAACCAACCACGGCCACGGCATGAAACCGCCGTGGACCCCTCAGCCATCGGGTGGTCCTTGAAGTAAGGCGTGATGCCATCGATCTGATCGTGGTAGGTCTGCAGACGCACGCGGATGCTCTCCTCCTCCGGGGCTGTTTTGGTCGGTCAGAGCCAAGCCGCAGCGATGGAGGGCTATTCGGCGGCTCGCAGGAAGCCTGGGGAAGAAAACTAAAACAACTTCCTCAGGTGGCTGGGGGGATTAACCCCGGAAGCCGGGAAAAGAAAAGAAAAATCCACCAGAAATCCGCAAAAACCAGGTCAATATACAGCCAGACTCCACGAGACTCCCCTTTGTCGCCTTTTTTCGCCTTTTTCGCTTGGCCGGGTTGGCGAGCGGGGTCGCCGGAGCAGGTCGGAGCGGTGAACTTGCGGTGGAAAACATGTGGCAAAAACGGGCGTCACGGGAGTGGCGAGAGGATGTCTCTTAGTTGGTAGTGCGTCTATGTCTTTTTTGGTACATGAGAATAGAGACACAGAGGAGATGCACCGGCTACTTCATAGCGGACCTACCCTCCCCAGCTTGGGCTAAGTCATGAAGTACTTCCCCCACCACCGCCGTGTTCAGCCACATCCGTGTCACCTCCTCGGCCGGCGGTCGCTGCCCGACCCGGTCGCGTGTCGCGTCACTTCTGCGTGTTGTCGTCGATGAGCGAAATCATCTGCTTCGTCCTGAGCGCCGCGTCCGCGCGGCCGCTCCGCCGTCCGCCTCAGTCACCTCGATCCGAGTGAGACCGGGTGACTCAGCCGTTAACTCCCAGGGGTGTTTTGACGACGAGAGACCGGCACCAGAATTGGTGTCGGGAATCCCGTCCGAAACATGGATCTCAAATCATCCGACACATGTCGAAATCATCATGTCTCTAAAAGAAATCAGGACATGCAACATGTATGTCCAACAGAGGTTGAATGACCCTATAGACTATCCCATAGGTACCCCAGTAGGGTCCTATAAGGTCACTTAACCTCTCATGGGTCCTGATTTAAAAGAGAATCCGGGTTTTCATCCAGCCCACAGCCATGTCTGTCCTACACATGTTGCATGTCGACAGCATGTCTTCTTTCATTCGTTGCTTCACCGATGGGTCCTGTGTCCGATCGTAAAAAAGACGGGACAAAATCTCTTGGCTGATCCGCTGATCTAAAGTTCAGATGAATTACGGGTGCGATCCATGGAGGTTAGGGGTGCCCATTACCCACTCACTTAGGGACTCAAAAGCACCCCTTATTGTGATTTCTGGTTCTTCTTCTTCTTCTTCTAGAATTCCCGGACCCCAACGCTGGGCCCGACCCCTGTCTGTCGCATTCTTCCGGATTTTCGCGTCGTCCCTTTTCATCACGACGGCCATCGGGCCCAACACCATGGAAAAAAGGCCGAATAGGCCCTCCTGGTAAAAAGATGAGAAGTTGCACAGGTTTCACATTTGAAAAAAAGAAAGTAACTCACCACCAGGGGTCACAAGAGGGGGTGCTTTCAGTCCCTAAGTGAGTGGGTAATGGGCACCCCTAACCTCCATGGATCGCACCCCTTTGAAACTCCTGGCGCAACAAAAGATCCAGAAACCTTCTTTTCCAGCCTCTGTTCCTTGCGGCGCGGCATGCGGACTGGGCCCCAGGCGGCAGAATCTGCTGCTCGACTTCTTTGGCCCGTCCTGTGGAGGAGAGGAGTATGGACCTAGTAGTCATCCACCACGACCATGAGGGTCAAATGACTCACGACTGGACTCTCAAGGAGCCTTTGGGGGGGGATGTTTGATCTCCCGGAGTGCAGGTGCCAGCTGGCTGATTGTAGAGTTCATCGGTTGCTTGACTAAGCCACTGTACATGGTTGTCCGTGTCCAAGCCTCAACGATGCCGGATTCTCAGCCAGTCCTGCTTCGAGGATCTTCTTGGCCGTTTCCAGCCTCGGGATGCGCCCCATGATGCACCCCCGAAGCGTTCCCAGTCGGGGGGGGATGTCAGTTTACGACAAACATGCTTATACACCAACACCACTCAAAGGGTGGTTTATAGACCCCCCTGGCCCCTGAAGATGTATTTTCATGTATTTTCCATCCAAGAGCCACCCGAAGTGGGTGGTTTTATACACCAACGCCAAGCACCTGTGCTGCCGGACATGGCCATGTAGGAGGCTCGCAGCCTCGGAGGTCGTGGCGAGTCCCGTTGTGGCAGGTTGCGGCGCTGGGTTGTGGCAGTAAACACAAGGTCAAACGAAAGTGCAGAGGCGCGCACGAATGCATGGGTGCAGTACGAGTACGTAGCGTCAACATCATTCAGCTCAGGTTGTACCTACAGGATCCATTTTACTTCATAAGGAGGTTGAATGCAGAGCACTTTCTGGTACACTTCTCGATGTACTCAATTCAGGTACTGTCTTTCTGACGTATAATAAAAACACATCCCCGATCCCCCTTGCTGGATTCAGGTGTGGCCCCCCGCGCCGTGCGATCTACCTTTTTGGGTAGGCCGAGCAGAATGGGGTAGACCGAATAGGTGTGGGCCCCAACTGGGCTTCGCCACTAAAGCAGAGTTCAAGCGATCGAAAGGATCGAACCGAGACATGGGTGTCCCCTCCGTCTAGGGGGTCGAACTGGGAGGTCTTCCCAAGAGGTCTCCGCTGTTGCAATGCACACATGAGAGGAAATTTTTGTCGACATGGTTCGAAAGCGAAGTCGCAGAAGAGCTGGAAAGAACGGTGTCTTGAGACTCACCGGCGACTCTTGGGGAATAACACAATGACTCGCTAAACATAGATTCCTTAAGGGCCACCCACCCTCATTCCTTAAGTCACGCCAGTCAATGTAGATCGTTGGCGCTCTCCGCATCCACTGAGAACACCGTCTTCGACCCTGAGCCCCTCACAGTTGGTTGGCATAAATGCACACATTCACGCCAGCCTCCTGTGATGCCGAGCGACGTTTGGCAGGTCTCAACCAAGCGCCCACCCAGGCACTTGGTCTACCTGCCCCCGTACTTGCCCCCCAAAAAAAAAACGGTCGCCACTTGCTTCTATCTGGGCAAGTTTTGGCGCGACACCCATAGCGCGCCTGCAGCTCTTCTTCTGTCACGTGGTCGTAAGTGGTGGGCACCGCGATGACCGGCACATCCGGAAACTGCGCCGGCGAAAGGATGAGGCAAGCTTGTGTTGAGCCGGAAAACATGCTTCTTAGTGAAGAAGTTTTTGTTAAAGGTCTTCCAGCAAAAGCAGTTGGACCAGCTGCCCACTGGAGGAGGCGTCGTCTTGCTTTGCCAACGTGGCAAGCCAGCACATGCATTTGGTGGTTCGAGTGCACCCTGGTCCGCTTTTGCTTTACACACTACCTGTTCTTCCCTTAAATTGGTTTGCCT